TTTTCCCTTCTCTGGATTGGATCAGTTGCTGTTATACCTTTTCTTGTGTTTATTTTTCATTTGGATTTCATATTTCTACTTTATTTAGCAATTTATTGGTCTTGATATTCGACAACTAGTGATTGATTGGAGTTGATGATTTATTAGCTCTTTTTTTGGTTGTATTTTCGGGTCTTTGTTTGCAGTTTATAAGGATGACAAAACGGCTCATTGTTCAAGAACAGCTCTTGATCAACTTGTTAATTTGCTCGTGTTCGATTCATTCGAAGAGCAAATTAGGGGAACAAGAATAATTTTTTATACTCGATATATAAAGGAGCGGGACACAAATAATGAAGGAAATGAAGTAGGGGCTCAGTGTTTTAGAGTTGAAGACAATGTCGAATGGGACCTCGTTTCCCACAGACGACACCAAACTGATGCGTGCTAGAAAATTTGCAGTGGTAGAGTAATGGATTATCGTCTTAGCATTGCACGAGAATTCAGCACACACTCAGATGAAAGTGAAACAACTTGTGATGACACCATAAGTTTTACGTGAAAAACCCGTAAAGGGTAAAAACCACGGGGTCTGGCCCAGTTATAAAAATTCACTATATGTTGATGATTACAGCGGCCCCTTGTCCCACAGATAGGAAAGGGTTACTAGATTTTTCAAGGTACAACGTTAGCTAACAGCATCTAGTTAGCGGTAGTAGACGGTAGTCAACGACAATCGATGAAGGTCGATGGTGGTCGACGGAGGTTGGCGATGGTCACAGGCGGTCGGTGGTCCACAGAGGTCAGCGGTGATCGGCGGTGGTTGATGGTGTTCGGCTGTGGTCGAGATAATGTTGAACTTGAGCTCTTTCTCAAAGCCTCAAGTTCTCTCTCAAGCCTCCTCCTTTCATGTGTGGGGTGAGGCTCTATTTATAGTGTTTTGAGTGCAATTAATGCATAAATATGAACCATTTTGATCGGATGGTCCAGAGAGCTTCTCTTGATCAGATGACGTTTGATGGACATTTGAGTGCCTTAACGATGTTGGAATTGACTAATCTTGGCTCATTAGATTCTTCTTGTAGAGATGCTCGATTCAACTATGAACTCGCTAGATTCGACATCCGTTTGACCTTTCAAATGCCTCTGGAAATCCTCCAAGTGTGGTTTGATGATTTGATTCGGGCTTGATTTGACTTGGATTGGACTAATTTTCATATCATTAGGTCCATCTCTTCGATCCAATCAGTTTGATTATAAGTTTGCTGAAATCGGAATTCCGAATGACTCTTAATCGAAGTTTGAATGCTTCTTTTTCAAAAAATTGCATCGAGATTCGTGAGAAAATTTGTTGGAGTCGTATCAGTTGCCCCCTATTTTCAGGCGAGATTAAATTTGTTGTCCAAAAATATCCAAATCTTTTAGGACGCGTTCCCACTGATATTTTGCCCTCTCATGCTTAATAGGAGCTTGAAGTGAGCCGCGTGTTCTGTTGGAGTCTTTTCAGTGAGAACCTTGTCCACTGCTAGCTTCCTCTTGAAATTTAGGCTTGTCTTCCAGCGACATGGTAGCTTCTTAACGAGTCCTGCCTTATAGGCTTAACTTCCAGTGGCATGGTTGAAAGGAAAATCCATTAAGGATGCAAGACCAATTCTTAGTTGTATAACCGGTGAAGCTTGACGATGTTAACCCATAATGAATAGAGTCGTATGAAATCCATTGAGGATGGTTGACCCATCCTAGGTTGTTGGTCAAAGCTTTTGTTTGACGACCGTAACCTGTTATGGAAGAGGTTGAAAGAAATCCATCAAGGATTTCCATCAAGGATTTTTGACTTATCTAAGACTGTATGTCGAAGCTTTTCCTTGATGATTATAACCTGTAATAGGATATGTCGAAGAAAATCCACCAAGGATTTTTGGCCTATCCAAGGCTGTATGTCGAAGCTTTTGTTTAACGATTGTAGTCTATAATGTAAGAGTTCAAATCGAATCCCCCTGGGATCGATTAATCCTAGAATGAGGTGTCAGAGATGCTCTGTGTTTCTCGAGACTAGGGTGTAGGTAGCATTGGACCGTATGTTTTCTTGAAAATATGATTGTAGTCATGCTTAAGAAAAATGTTTGAACACAAGAGCTTATAAAACAACCCATGTTTCTAGCCTTGAAGAGACCAGCTTCTTGATTTTTTTGAAGGAGAACTCCAGTACAATGATGGGGCACCAAGGAAGCATTATTTGAAATGAAAATTGCCTCCCACTTCAGTAGAGATTCTTGAAGAATTCTAATTTGAATGAAATATGGGATGACATCCCCACCATAATCGTGCCCAGGAGGTTAACAATAACGACATTTCGAGACTGCTATGAAGGTTGCCCCGCAACCTGCCCCGCAATCTGGAAGAAATTGTGAAATACTTTGTGTCTGAATAAGATGTGAGAAGACAACCCTATTGCAATCGTGTCTAGGACGTTGACGTGAACGACCTTTCGAGACTGCAGTAAAGGTTGCCCCCCAGCCTGGAAGAAGTTATAACATACTTTGTGTCTGAATAGGATGCGATAAGACAACCCTACTACAATCGTGCCAAGGACGTTGACATGAACAACATTTCGAAATTGTAGTGAAGGCAACCCCTCACATTGAAGAATGCTTTGGAGATGATCTTCAAGATGCAAAGAAAGTTCCTTTGTGAATTGAATGATTTACATCATCGGGAAATAAAGTAGGAATTCGACGTCTTAGATTTGAGTACAGTGTCGAATGGTGCTTCGTTTCTCACAGACGGCGCCAAACTGATGTGTGCTAGAAACTTCGCGGCGGTAGAGTAATGACTTATCGTCTTAGCGCTGCACGAGAATTCAGCATACACTCAAATGAAAGTGAAAACGACCAGTGATGACACAAGAGGTTTTTACGTGGAAAACCAACAATGAGAAAAAACCATGGGGCCAGTAATGACTTATCGTCTTAGCGCTGCACGAGAATTTAGCATACACTCAGATGAAAGTGAAAACGACCAGTGATGACACGAGAGGTTTTTACGTGGAAAACCAGCAAAGGGAAAAAACCATGGGGCATGACCCAGTTATAAAGATCCACTATATGTTGATGATTACAGCGGCTTCTTGTCCCACAGACGGGAAATGGTTACTAGATTTTTCAAGGTACAACATTAGCTAACAACGTCTAGTTGACGGTGGTCGACGATAGTCAACGACAATCGATGACAGTCGGTGGTGGTCGATGGAGGTTAGCGATTGTCACAGACGGTTGGTGGTCGACAGAGGTTAACGGTGATCGGCGGTGGTCGACGGTGGCCGACGGTGGTCGAGATGATGTTAGACTTGAGCTCTTTCTCAAAGCCTCAAGTTCTCTCTCAAGCCTCCTCCTTTCATGTGAGGGGTGAGACTCTATTTATGGTGTTTTGAGTGCAATTAATGGAGGAATATGAGCCATTTTGATCGGATGGTATGGAGAGTTTCCCTTGATCAAATGACGTTTGATGGACATTTGATTGCCTTAACGATGTTGGAATTGACCAATCTTTGGCTCATTGAATTCGTCTTGTCGAGATGCTAGATTCGACTATGAACTCGCTAGATTTGACATCCGTTTGAACTTTCAAATGCCTCCGAAAATCCTTTAAGGGTAGTTTGATGATTTGATCCGGGCTTGATTTGACTCGGATTGGACTGACTTTCATATAATTAGGGGAGAGCTTCCCTTGATCAAATGACGTTTGATGGACATTTGATTGCCTTAACGATGTTGGAATTGACCAATCTTTGGCTCATTGAATTCGTCTTGTCGAGATGCTAGATTCGACTATGAACTCGCTAGATTTGACATCCGTTTGAACTTTCAAATGCCTCCGAAAATCCTTTAAGGGTAGTTTGATGATTTGATCCGGGCTTGATTTGACTCGGATTGGACTGACTTTCATATAATTAGGTCCATCTCTTCGAGCCAATCGGTTTGACTATAAGTTTGCTGAAATCGGAGTTCCGAATGACTCTTAATCGAAATTTGAATGTTTCTTTTTTAAAAAATTGCATCGAGTTTTGTGTCGGATGATAAAAATTTATTGAAGTGGTATCAATTAATTTTTTAAATAATTTAATTGACTACAAATCTTTGGTGGTGTTAATTTTTTGTTGGGCTGTATTTTCCTTTTATTTTGAATATATACTTTTTTTATAAACAAATTTCGATGTGACCCCACTTTTTCTCCGAAAAATAAAAAAACGAAAATAACGTGCAATTGCCGTTGTTTTTCATCACCGAATTCAAATTCATTTTTACATTTCAAATCCGAACTCTGGGTTTTCCGTTGATAAACATGAGGGGGCACAAAAAAGTATTTATGTGACACGTGTATTGCCAGAAAAAGACAATCGTTTGAAAATGAAATATATTCTAAGAAATTAAAGTTAAAGTTCAGTTTTCTTTTAAAACAGAATTAATTGCTTGGTTAATTTATTTTTATTTGTAGTTTTTTAATTCTATTTGTGTGAATAATGACAACTTATAATTTTATAAAAATCACTGAATTATATGAACGGTTTTCACCACAAACACACACACATAAAAAATTTTATCTTCCTGGGCAGATGTAACAATTTAGAGGGGAAGAGTACAATGAAAGAGGGTCCACTAACAGAAATTGTGAGGCCAACTTATCTATTCAAATGCAACTATCTGATTCAAAGCAAGCAATGTTAAAGCCGACAAAGTCACAAAAGATGAATGAATGACCCGAATTAGACTCGTTCGGTTAGAAACGAGACAAAGAGATATCTAAGACAATCGACATGAAGTAACCGAGTCAAAGGAAGATCTAGCCCTCAATGTCTCTAATCATACCGGGAGTATCTAGAAACTCCACCATATATTATCAAGGTTCGATAACCAAACTAACTCAGCGGATCACACTAGTCTTGTTGACTTGAAGCTAAGTAAGCCTAACCAACTGACCCGCCAAGCGGAAGTCATACAAACTAACTCAACCTGAAGCTTTCTCTTCATTTTTTTCTTGTTTTCCGTGGGGTTTTCATCTTTATTTCCATTTTTTTTTTCTGGGTTTTGTTTATCTAAGCCAGGAGAGGGTCTGTTTTTCTGAACGCTTCAAGCCAATCTCTTCTCTATAGTTCAAAAAGAGGCAACTTTTTAGTCCCTCTTTCTCTATTATCTTCTTCTCCTCTGTCTCTCTGGTTTTTATTCTGAACCTCATCCATGGCCGCAGCTATAGATTTGTATAATACCAGAGCAGCCATTTCCTCAAGAACGGAGCTTATGGAAGCACGAACCTTTTATCAAATCTGCTTCCTCCTCCTCTCTTACTCCTATAAAAAACATCTCCTTTAAACCCTCCTCCGTTTCTCTTTCACCTCTTCCCTACTCCTCTGCTAGCTACTTTGATCCTCCTACTCCCCAAAATCCCATCTTTGATTACTGTCCCACCTCCATCTCAAACCCTGAGATCAGCCATGGATTGCTGACCTCCAATCAGCCCATCCGTCTCAATCACCTCGGAACCTCCCAACTCCAGCAGATTCAGACCCAGCTCCAACTCCACCATCAACGCAATCTACTCTCCCTTCGACCGCAGACCATGAAACTCTCCGGCGGCTGCGCCGCCATCTCGCCGGCAAAGACAACAAAGCTCTACCGCGGTGTGCGGCAGCGCCACTGGGGCAAGTGGGTTGCCGAAATCCGTCTCCCTAAAAATCGCACTCGCCTCTGGCTCGGTACTTTCGACACAGCAGAACAAGCTGCCATGGCGTACGATAAGGCCGCCTACCGTCTTCGCGGCGAATTCGCTCATCTTAACTTCCCCAATATCCGTCAGGATGTTGCTGGCGTTGAGCTCCAGTCTTCAGTTGATGCAAAGCTTGAGGTTATTTGTAATAAGATGGGGAGCTCGCTGAAACAGGAGAGTTATGCTCCTGCGATGAATTTTTCCCTGTTTTGGAAAATGCTTCAGTTGATGTCAGGATGTTGCTGGCGGTGAGCCGGCGGATTGGATGATAACAAATCGGAACTGTCTTCGGAAGGGGAAGAATCTTCCCCTGTTTTGGAAATGGAGACTTTGGATTTTACGGGAGCTCATGGGATGAATCTTAGAGATCTTTGTTGACCCAGTTTCCTTCATGGGAGATCGATTGGGATTCTATACTGCCTTGGGCTTCCTTTGAAAGAGCAGTAGTTCAATCTGAAACAGTAAATTTTGAGAGGCGATCGTCTACTACTCATATGTTTGGTTTGATCTATGTTTATATTTTGGTTTTGTTTTATGAAATTTTAAACATTTGCAGGGCTGATTTGTAATGTTTAGTGAGATGTTTCTGGTTTGGTGGGGTTTTTTTTGTGGCTTTTAATTCATTGGTTTGACGTTTAGTGAGATGTTTAGGGATGGTTGGGGTTTTTTTTGTGGCTTTTAATTCATTGGTTTGGCGTTTAGTGAGATGTTTAGGGATGGTGTGTAACTGGAAAAATTATTCCATGCGGATCGGTCCACGCAGCTTGCGTGCGGACGCCGATCCGGACCGTAAATCACATGATTTACGGTCCTGATGTATTTCGGTGGGCCCCACCTAAAATTTTTTATTTTTATTTTTAAAAACAGAAATAATCCTGACCGTAGATCACCGTGATCTACGGCCAGGATCGAACACCGCATGCAGAGATGCATGCGGTGTCCGCACGCAATAATCCCCCGTGTAACTGTGTCTATGTAGTCAAAAGGCAAACATATAGGTTTTTTTCTTGGCTTTAGCAGTGCGGGTGTGTGTAACGGTAAACTGTGTATATTTAATTTATTGGCAATTATAATTACATTAATTTAATTATAACTTAATATATTAGTTAATAATTAATTTAAAAATTATAAATCCTTTTAAACATAAGAGCTATTTGTTGATCAAATTGGATCAGAATTAATTTTAATTTAATGAACTTAATATCTTTAAATTTATTTAATATTAATTGTTAAATTTATTCAAAATTTAAAATTATAAACTCACATAGCAATCCATTTTCATGTTCTTTTTCTCCATTCCATCCCTTGTTCTCTTTTATTTACTAAGGCTTAGTTTGAGAGGACACTCACCCTCCGTTGTGTTGCAGTAAAAGCCGACTGTTTTCGTTTGGTGAAACGACCATTTCATTTGTCTAGTGTCTTCCAAAGTATTTGTAAAAATGATAATTTTTTGTTGTTTTGGACAGCGAAGGCCCTTCTCCGTTCCGCCAACGCACCTTTCAAAAAAACTTCGCTAAACAAAAACCTAAATCTATAATGTTGATTTTCGAAACTTGCGGAAAAAAACTACACACAAAGCACACAATTTCTATGTATTTACATATATCACACTTAGCTTTTAACTTTTAGACATATACCACCTTGCGAATGTAATACATAATATTTTTACACATAAAGATTAACTATAATAATCAAGTGTGTAATTCATTAATAGATGCTCCAATATGTTCATTAAAATGCATGTGTATGTTATTCAGACTTTTAATGTATTTTAAAATAATTGAATAATAAATAATAAATAAATATTGTCAAATGTATAAAAGAAAATTTTGATTTATAAATTTTGAATAATTTTTATCACTCTTTCATAAGCCCTATAAAATGATGAACTCTAATTAGTATGAATTTTACATACTTTTACGATAAATATAAATATAAAAAATATAAGATTAATGG